CGCCGCCGGCCTTCAACGGAGTGGGCGGATGGGGGAGGGAAATCGGGCCGCGGCGAGTGCCTCATGGCCGCCGCCAGCCTTCAACTGGGTGGGTGGGCGGGTGGAGGGAAATTGGGGCGCGGTGAGCGGGTCATGGCCGCCGGCGGCCTTCAACTGGGGGGGGGGTGGAGGGAAATTAGAACGTGGCGTGGGGCGCATCGCCGCCGCGCCGTTCAGACACAGCGGTTGCCTCTCGCCTCCCAGCCAATGGCATGGCAGCAGCCTTGAGCAGCAGCTGGCCAGCCAATGGCTGACGGAGCGCATTTTTTCTTACTCTGCATCTTACTCAATTATATATAATGGAGAGATTTTTTCTTTAGAGGGGACTTCAATATTAAGCATATAATATTCTTGCGGTTGTCAGTTCTATTAGACTCAACATGACCAGGAATAGGGCGTTTTCGGTGGTGGCTCCTATCTGGTGGAATGAGCTCCCAGAGGAGATCAGGGCTCTGCGGGACCTGGAAGACGGAGCTCTTCCGCCAGGCTTTTGAATAGGAGCCGCCACCACTAGTGCACTACGACCGCACTAGTACCATCTATCCCCCATATTCGGATATCAGGATGGGGCACGCATATCCAGTCGCTGCATTGTTGGGCAAGAATGGGACGGTCAGGGATAGCCATCTTGTTTTTAGGAATTTTAGGAGATTGGAAACTTTGCTGAGAGGAGCATCAAAATCTGTTTTAATAGGGTTGTAACTTAATATTTTGTATTGTTTTACTGTTTTATCTGGCATTATGCCCTGTAAGCCGCTCTGAGCCTCCGGGGAGGGCGGGATAGAAATGCGAATAATAAATAAATAAATAAATAAATAAATAAATGTGTAATAAGGTAAAAGTTGTTTTTTACAATTTTCTGGCATTATATTCAATAAAAACAATTCAGGTATATAAGGTACGATACAACCTAACATTTTTTGTAACATTTCGTGAATCCAAGACCTATACTTTTTAGCTTTATCACATGACCACCACATATGGAAAAATAAACTAACATTTTTTTGGCACTTCCAACAATCATTTGATAAATCAGGATAAATCATTGCTAATTTTTCTGGAGTCATGTACCATCTATAAAACATTTTATAAATATTTTGTTTTGATGAGGTTGCTTTGGTAATTTTTAGATTTGTTTTCCATATTTTTAACCATTCATCTAAATCAATATTATGACCCAAATTTTGAGCACTTAGTGAGACTCTGAAGAAAAGTGTCTGATAACCCCTATCTGTAGCAGAGCGAGTGTGTTGTGGCCTCTGCAAATAACAGTCTTGGGGTGGAGAGAGACAGTGATTCTGGCAACGAAGTGTCAGAACTTACCCTATTCAAGGAGTGGAAGGAATCTTGTGTGAAAACAAAAACACTACTCGAGTGGAGGATTAGTCACTCTCTGTATGGAAACTTATTAACCAGTTTACAGAGACTGTTCTTCTGGCAGATAGGGAGTTGACAAAAGGTTTGAGGAGGCATGGAGGTCCCTCAAACAGGTCAAAAGAGGTAATTGCTGTTAGGGAAAAGAGAATAATCTGGCCAGAGGAAGAGGAGAGCAGATAGGAAAAACCCTGGTCTATAAACATAGGGTTAAAGTATAATTAAAATCTCTAGTCTGTGTGACCATCCAGTAACAAGTCGAAAAGTAGGCACTTAAGTAATATCTGTAACTCCATTAAAGCACTGGAACGTCTCTAACAACATCAAACCAAAGTAAACCAGTGAAAATAACTCTCTGAATATCTCTAGTGTTGCATAATAGCAGTTTCGTATATATTTTTAAACCTCTCTCTACTAATCCTAGCCAAAACTCACTTGTAAATATAATTTCCATCCCCTGCCTGTATGTTCACATAAATATAACTTCTACTTCAGCTTTAAGTGTGCCTAGGTGCCTGTTTCAGAAGGGAAATTTGTAGAAGAACAAACCCTCCTCAAGCATAGTTCCTTACTTGGGGTAGGAGCCGACAAAGTATCCAACAGTAATAAGGTGGGATAATGGCATTATAATATTTACCACATAAGAAGAGGGACATGCTACCTAAAGGCTATCCAGTTAACATATAGGGAACTGAAATTCATAGTGGAAGTGGAGGGAAAATCTTAGGCCAGACAAGGGCGATTGTTTGACAGGAGTACCTGTTTGGTACAGGCACAAACCTAAAAAGGGCAGTTTGGGGTGGTCCACAAACTGAACCCTGAACTGAACCAACCCAAATGGGTCCTACCTGGACCAAGTTGGTCTGGCAAGTTTGGTTCCTCCTTTCTCCCGGCCATGGCAAGCCACAGCCAGAAGAAAGGGGGCTGGGACCATCCTGGAGGGGACTTCCTTCTACCTTTCTCCGGGATTCGACCATGGTTGAAATGGCACAAAGGGAGTGATGAGGATGCTGTTTGCGTTTCTCTCCGAAATAGGCACCTAGACACACTTAAAGTTGATATCAATGATATCATACATATATCAATGATATCTCATGTTGTGAGATGATTTTGGTGGCTGCAGGGAGGTGGACATAGTGTCCCTGAGGCATTTGCAGAACTGTCAGAAATCATGGTTGATATGGCACAAAGGGAGTGATGAGGATGCTGTATGTCTTTCTCAATTTTCACCAGGACTCTGGGAATTAGAAAAAAAGTAGGGAATGCATATTTGAGGTTTATTGACCTGGAGAGGAGCAAAGCATTGCCTTTGGACTGGGGGCGGTGTACTCCTTCAAGTAGAAACTTGGATATTTATTATTGGCATGAGTTCAAAAATGGTTGAGCAGGGGGTGGCCCCCAACAAACAAAGATAGTGCTGGCAGTGGCATTGTTGATGGACTGTTTGTGTCCTATAGTGCCTTGGCAACTTCAATAGCCTGCAGTGATGTTCGTGGCTCTTGGGACGCATATGGGTTTTTTGGGGGTTCTTTTTTTTTTGTATTTTTCGTGTGTGTGTCTACACCTGGACGTCATGGCGACCTCTGGTGACTGACCCCTACTGGGGGCCTGGAGGATATTCAGAGAGAGGTGGCTGAATAAAACCTACCTCCTCCTCCTGACTGCTGGTATTTCAAGGAGGTCTCCCATCCAAGCACTTGCCAGAGTCGACCCTGCTTAGCTTCTGAGATCGGGCTTGCCTGGGCTATCCAGGTCAGGGCCTGGGACATATATGGTGATAGAAAAGATGTAATAGTGAATGCAATGCTTCCATAGGTGACCCGCTAGGTTGCTGAGGTTGGTAGAAACTATTTTCTTGATGTAGTACATCATGGTTGTGTAGTCAGTGACCTCATGAACAGTCCTGCCCTTCAGGAGGGGAGGAATTTGAGAAGGGCCTTGAAGACTGCAAAGAGTTCTAAGTAGTTTATGTGGGCAGCCCATTGTTTGTGGGACCAGGGAAGGCACCCTGGTTTGTCCCAGCAGTGGGCACCCCAACGCCAGAGGGAGGCATTGCTGGTCAAACCTGAGAGGACATGAGGGTAGGAAGGGCATCCCGATTTAGGTGAGTGGGCTTACACCATCAGGGAAGCAGACCTTAGGGGACAGCATAAGTCCTGGGCTTGGAGTTCCTAATAGGGTTGAAGTAATGGAGGAACCAACTCTGCAGGTGTCTAATTTGCCACAGAGCAAACTGGACCATAGAGATATTGAGTTCTAATATTTTCTGAATGGAAAGAACGGATTACGTAGGATGGCAACAGGAGTCAAGGGAGATAAACCCTGGTCCGTTTGTTATTGAGGACTGTGTTGTTGAGAGGGTTCAAAATGGGGCTTTTTTCTGTTGACTTGCAGCCATAGAGAGGCTAGAAGTATAGAGTGATGCACAAGTGTGCAGGGTAGGGGAGTGAGGTGACATAATCAACCATTAGTTGGTGTACAGGAAGACTGATGCAGCAATGTCTGAAGTGTGCAGCAACCACTGCTGTGCACTTGGTGAAGGCTGGAAGGTAGCACCCTCTATTGGTAGTTATTGGTGACTACCACAAACTAGAAAAAGCAGTGGTACTGAGGTCTTTTTGCCTCTTTTAGATCTATGGATGCAAACCATGCCTCCTGGGTAGAAGAGGGAGGATGGAAACAAGTTTGATAATCCAAAACCTGAAAGGAGTGATGAAGTGATTGATGCCCCTGATGTTCAGAATGAGCACGATTTTTACCCAGCCTTTCTGTCCACATAGGGCAGCTGACAAATAAAACATACAAATTAAAATCTCATTTTAAAAGTTATTAAAACCAACACACAAATGCATCATTAAAAGAATTTGAAATGAGATTTTAAAATAAGTACAAAAAATAAAAACATAAATGGGTGTACCACAGACTGTTTCAAGGCTGGGTCAATCGCCCTATCCCTCAAGGAGGCATTAATTGTCTCTCGAACCCAGCCAGCCAGTGCCCCCCCCCCGATGGATTTAAGGGCATCTTTTGAATCAATTAAAAAGGTTTTATACCTTGCAGCTCTAACAGGAAACTGATTATACTTGTGGATCAGTCAGTTTTGCTGAGTCAGCAAAGATCTATGAGCGGCAATATATCTTTGCTATATTTATGTACTGATTTCCTCAACATTAGCAAGTAATTGCAGGGCTGAGCTTAGTTTGTTGTTGAAACCTATGACAAAGCTAAAGCATTCTTGTCTTCACTACTTTTAATTTATAAAATTAGTGTTTTGAGGGTTGGGAAATTGGATGTCAGGGAAAAGAACACATGAAGAGAGGTAATTTTTGTTTATTTATGCTTGCAGATTGATTTGTCTCTAGATTCTGAAAAGCCAGAAGAGAACAGAAGCCCTGATACTGCAAAATACTGTTTCCCTGAGCTGAGTGGTCAGCGTAAAGCCATCATGAGCGATGTTACAATTGTGAAAGAAGGCTGGGTTCAGAAAAGGGGTAAGTGTTAAATGAAACAAAATATATTCTACAGTAAGAATAAGGGCTTCATTTTTTTTGCCGTGACTTTGTTTTTACCAATTTATAGACAGGATAGCAAGAAGATTTTAATCTTGTAACAGTTTTAAATAGAGTGCTTAATAGAGAGCAGAATGTTCAGTGCTACATATATAAATAAGCACATTTAATTCTGTAACTGTATTCCTTGCCCTTCACAGTAACTTATTAACATGCTGCATAACTTTAACAGCATGAATTGTCTGGGACATGTACAGTATTCAGAACCTATTTTTTTCCCAGCCCATTTAAATAAAGTCTGGAATATGCAGAAATTGTGCTATGGCCAGTGTGAGAGATTATAATTGTGCCAATTTTTAAAAATGGCCTGTGTGTGAAAAGGATCCACAAAAATTCTGTAATGGTAACTCTCCTGAATATTTCCTTTAAATTTAAACTGTAGTTACATTTGCTGCTAAATAAGTCAGAATTGCAAATGGAAATGAATGAGATCTTTTGCCGAGGAAAGAGAGGATCGGAGCTAGAAATTATCTTATGTTATTTTCTTGTCCATCATCTGATTAAAAATAGTCTGTTATGGACTTCCGGTATGGCGCTTTGACGGGCGGGCGGGAGCGTGGTGTGCTCCGTCCCCGCCCGAACCACTTTTGCCTTGTTTGAGCTCCCTGCTTGTTAGGGGAGCTCGACCAGCACCCCGGCGGTGGGAGCTGGAGCAAGGGGCGTTTTTCTGGCCCCTCCCGCTTTCGGCAGGGCGGGGGGTGTCCAGTTACAGCCCCGACGCCGAGGCGATTGGAAGGAGGAACATGGCCGCCAGCCATGTTCCACTAAACGCGACCATCCGGTTGTTTTATTTTTAACTTTGCACGGGAAGAAGGCGAAATGATAAGGCAGCAACGTAAGGATATAAAAGAGATGTTGGCTGAACTGTGAAAATGGATATGGGGGAAGAATTATTGACAGTGGAAAAAAACGGTAACAGACCTCCAAACTGTGGCATCCAAACAGGGAAGTAAAGCGGCCGGGGGAATGAAAAGGACTGAACTATAAACAATTATTTTCAAGGAGGGAAGAAAAGCGGGGTAGGAACTCAGTATAGTGTGGGCTTGTTCGAGTGTTGAAAGACTTGGTCAAAAATATATCTGTGTGTTGTGTGGAGTTTAAAAGAGATGGAGCAGATCGAAAGAATTGGGGAGGAACGAAAGGAAGAGCTGGAGAGTGGCGAGACAGAAACGGAGAAATTTATCAGAGAGATAAGAGAGGCGGTGTGGAGAGGTTGTCATGAAGCATGTATGGAACTAAGAAAGGAATACAGCTTGCAGGTGGAAACAGATAGAGTGGAAAAGCAGGAATTAATTATAGCGAAAGAGAGACATGAGGAGGAGAATATGATAGAAAATCTGGACAGTGGAAAGGAAGAAAAATTGGAGGAGGAGGTAGACCCGATAAAAGTTGAACTTGAAGTGAATCAACTAGGACCAATGTTTAAAGACTGAGCGTGGGAAAAATAAAAAGACTAGAAGGGATAAGCAACGGTTAAGGAAGTTCAAAAGGATCAAGGGATTCAGGATTATGGAAGAAGTGAAAGGCAGAAGAGAGAGACCTGGAAGACAAAGAGTGCTAAAGGACAGAAGGCATGGGGACATGTTGAGGAGAAAAAATAAACTGCAAATGTTTAGGAGAAAAAGAAAGCGATTTGAAAACAGTAAATTTGATGCCTCCCCCCCTTTATGGCTAGACTTGGAAGTTTGACAAGTTAGCTATTGGATTATGAATAGAAGCTTTGACGAAGATATCTAAAATTATGTATTTGAAATTATGTATTTGGATGACTGACCTGAAATGTGATGGTTTTTTGGTACCTGTACTTAAACCTATTTACCTATTGAGAGGAACTATTAGGGGAAGTTAGAAGTGATTCTAAGAGGGATTTAAGATAAGGAGAATTAATAAGGATGGGTAAATAATTAAGGGGACAACTATAGTTGATTAGGGGGGAAAACTGTAATAGGATGGAAAAGTGGAATAACCTGATTATAAAAGGGATTTGTGATTTGGTATATGTCGGGATGGATGAGTGTTAATTATTTGGATGGTTAAAAGATTTGAAATTTATAGGTTCATGAAATAATATATGGGTATCTAGTAATGTAATATTAAGGTATTTATGAATTTGACTTGAAATTTTTAGGAGAATTTGAATTATGAGGATAGAAATTGATTAGAATAAATCGTAATAGTGGATAACTGAAATGATAGTCTGATATATATACTGGTATTCATATTGATTTATTTATGAATTTGACTTGAAATTTTTAGGAGAATTTGAATTATGAGGATAGAAATTGATTAGAATAAATCGTAATAGTGGATAACTGAAATGATAGTCTGATATATATACTGGTATTCATATTGATTTATTTATGAATTTGACTTGAAATTTTTAGGAGAATTTGAATTATGAGGATAGAAATTGATTAGAATAAATCGTAATAGTGGATAACTGAAATGATAGTCTGATATATATACTGGTATTCATATTGATTTATTTATGAATTTGATTTGGAATTTTTAGGGGGAAAATGTTAATGTAAAATATATGACGGAATAATTTAAAGAATAGAAAGGGTTGGTAGTGGACAATAAGGGAAAAATGAATGAGTAGCTGGTATTGTATAATCTTGGGATAGGAACGGGTTAGAAGTAAATGTGTCACTGGTTTGAAAGAAAACTTGAGGTAAATAGGCTATGTGTTAATTATGGTAAGATACTAAGGTCAGTCATAGGGAGATTTAAGATTGGAAATTAGAAATGGATGTTGTTGAGGCGTTGATGAGAAATTTAAGGGAAAAGAAATAACTAAAAAGTGTTAAACAAAATATTAAGAAAATATAAAAACCTTAAGTGGCAAACAAATGGGTATAAAATAGAAAAGAAATAACGATGAACTTAAACCCCTATATTGAACACATAGAACTACAAGGCATAGGGCTAGGAGAGAAGTCAGAACTTGATAGAGTCTGGGATAAGAACTGTAAGTCTGATTTGGCACTTATTTAATCTCAAAAGGTTATAGGAGTATAGAAGTTTAGTCAACACAGATTGGTGTCTGGAAGGGCTGTCTGGAATTGTGAAAATAAGGAAAGTCAGTTATTGAAGGAATGATGGTAATATTAATCAGTGTTGTAGAAAATAAGTGAGATATAATGTATGGAAAGATATGTAAAACTTGCTGCTGATGTGATTAGTGTGCACAATATAGGCTTATAAAATCTAATAAAAATAATTATATAAAAAATAGTCTGTTATAATCTTTTTTTTTTTACAGTTTCTGTAGATATTGCCAGGGCCGGCCCGAGGTTGGCCTGCGCTCAAGGTGAGTGCGGATGTCAACCTCCTGGCGGGAGACTGGCACACTTTCGCTTTCCACCCTGCTGCCCGCCCCAGAGAGGGGAAGGGGGAAGCGCACCAGTCTCGGGACCTTTGCCAGGCAGGCAGGTGTGGGCCTGGAAGCGCAGGGGGCTGTGCGGGGCTGGTGCTGGTGGCAAGCAAGGGTCCAGGGTGGAGGCGCGGCCTCCCTCCAGGCAGCGCAGCAGCAGGAGTGGCGCGGTCAGGAGCGTCTCCTGCGTAGCGCAGAACCCCTCGCCCGTCCACAACACAGGACCCTTCCCCGCCGAGCCACTGGAGGGGCGCACGGGCTGGCCTTGGCTGCCACCTCCCTGCGCGGGGACTCTCCAGGGCAGTTTAAGGAAGTGGCGGTGGCCGTTCCTCCTCCAGGCGCAGCGGGCGGGTCTCAGGCGGCCCCGAGCCAGGCCAAAAGCAGGCAGGCAGGAAGGCTGGACGGGCTCCTTTCCTAGTCCCCCCCCAGGCTACCTGAGGAGGAGGAGCGCGAAGGGCAGGACCCAGCGCCGGCCGGGCCCGGGCCTTCCCCGCCGGCGCCCCCTGCGCGGGGACTCTCCAGGGGAGTTGGACGGTCCGGGACGGAGGAAGTGGCTGCGCCTCTCAACCCCCCCAACACCATGAGCGGCGGTGGCTGGCCAGGGGAGGAGGTGTGCCTTGCTTGCCCCCCAACCACGCACCCCCTCCCCTCGCCGCCACCCACCCCTGCCGGCCGGGGGCCACTTGCCTTGCCTCCCCCCGCTACCTGCGGAGGAGGAGGAGCGCCTTCCGGAGCCGGCCGGCCGCGCCTCTCCCCCCCAACACCCCGAGTAGTGGTGGCGGGCCAGGGGGGAGGTGTGCCTTGCCTGGCGCCCCCCCAATCATGCACCCCCGTCCTCTCTCTGCCACTCAGCCCTGCAGGCCGGCCAGCCGGGACCCATCGCCTCCCCCCCACCTGCAGAGGAGGAGCGCCTTCCGGAGCCGGCCAGGAGCGCCTCGCCTGGCGGCAGCGCCGCAATTTCCTGCTGGGGCGCTGATTGGGCCGGCAGGCCGGCAGAGGCCCAGGGATTGGCTCCCTGCCTGCCTGCCTGCCTGCCTCACCACGCTCCCCTTGGCCCCCTTCCCCCGCCCTTCTTGCCCTGGCCGGGCTGCAGGCTATGAGAGGCTGCTGGCCGCCGCCCCTGCCTCTCCTCCCGCGCCCCAACGGCCGGCTCGCGCTATAGGCGAAGGCCTAGTTCACCTAGCGGGCGAGCTGGCCGTGGATATTGCTGACATTTGATAGAATTAACACAGACAGATTGTGGGTTGGGCCAGGTTTCATTTCCAGTTCCTGTAAACCATAGGATTACACAGACATGTTTTCTTGTCCTGTGTTTTTAAAACTCTTTTATTAATTGTGTAATGGAAGAATTGAGACCTAGTTTGGTTAACCTTCAAGCTTTTGACCTTCATTTATGTATTCTGGTATATACAAATGTTATGGTGCTGCTGGGTTTGATCCAAGATCTTCCATTGGAAGGTACTGACTGATGTTGATCTTTCCTTCCCCCCCCCTCCACCGCAACCCTTTCTAACCCCAAGATAAATCATCCTGGAGTTATGGGCAC